GGCCCCAGGAAGGAAAAGGAAGTGCGCACGCGTGAGTCGGGTGGTGCTCGCCTGCCGGCAACCCATCATCTACTACTAAAGGGCTGGGAGCGGGCAGGCGAGCTGGGTGGAGGCAGCAGGCAGCATGCGGGCCTCCGGATCGAAGTTGACCCCAACCTCTCGGGGTTTTCCCTTCCCGTGAGCCCCCGGAGGCTAGCGCGGTGATTCTTTGGCGAAAACATTTCGGAATTCCGTGGTCTGTGCCAGGCCTATGCTCTATTTTGTCCTCAACCCAGTAGCAAAATAGTTATGTAAACAGATTTCGACACAGTGCGATGGCTGCAACAAAAAGAAGCATTATGAGGTTAGATGTGAAAAGGTAGCATTAACGACGGCGGAGGTTGCAGTTTCCTGTCTGCGGTAGGCACTGGTGAAGTGGAAGTTTGCGAAACTAAGTGGCTTGTGCTCCGGTGCATTTCTGGTAGAGAGAAGGCTTATGGTCCTCACCTGGCTGAGTGCAATCGAACAGGTAAAGTGATGATAAAGAACCTAAAAGGAGCAGAATTTTTCCCCCTTTGGCACTGGGCTGCTCTGTGAGGACATTAAGGGACGAGCTAGTTTAGATATTTTGTTGTTTAAATTTATTTTCCCTATATAACCATAGTTTTTAAAGTCTTAAAAAGATAGACAGTGATCAGCCATTCTCTTATTAGTGTCCGTTTCTTGTGTATTTTGGTCTAAAAATAAACATTTCATAAGGTGGTCTTTCAAGAAATGTTCTACAGCATTATTAAATTGTGAGACGACGACGATCTCTAAAGAAAGCATCTATTTATCAAGGTGGATTGAAAGTAAGCAATAGAGACAGCAGCAAAAAGCTGGAATCGACATTCCAGGACACAATCATTCACAATTTTTATCTTCAACGTTTGGCAAAGTACCTAATACATAAGTGTAATTAATTTGCTGTGCTAGGGGATAAAACCAAGAGCCTCGGCAAGCCTTACACTACCACTGAGCTATGCAACCCCCAACTGCAGTGAGTGAATTCAGTGAGAAGAATCCAAGCCTAAAATAAGCTAAATTAAATGGAGAGGAAGGAACCACTATGAACCTAAAAGGAGCAGAATTTTTTTTCTGAAAAAATATTTAAAGATCAAAGAAGGCAATAGAACTTAGTGATTGGACTGATTAATTTTATATATCATCTTGACTAAACTCAAGGTTTAGTATCATTTTTTTACTAAACTCTAGGTTACATGGGTACCTAGTGTGGTCAAAAACCAGTCTAGTTGCTGTGAATGTGTTAGATGTGATTAACGCTTAAGTCAATAAGCTGAGTAAAGCAGACAAATAAAGCACTGTAATATATATGGATCCAGCCAATAAGTCCAAATAAAGACAAGACCCTCAGGAAGTAAGACTTGTGCCTCCAGACCACAGCATCAGATCTCCCTTAGGTCTCTATCCTGCTTGCCTGCCCTGAAGATTTTTGGATAGTTGTGACCTAAATTCCTTAAATTCTCTTTTTATACATGCATCACATTGATCTGTTTCATTCGAGAGCCCTAATATAGTAACTGAATGTATTGAAGCTCCAAGTAGGAAAGGTTATGCTTTAGGAGATTGAGTGATGGTGACACTCACTGAGATGTGCAAATCAAAACTTGAGAGCTATCATTGATTTCTTGACCTCTTTGACCCCCCTGAATTCCATTTGTGACCCAGTTTTGTAATTCTGTTTCCATAACTGAAATTGAAAAATTACTACTACCTGAATATAAAGAGTTTTGTAACTTCTCAACTGGCATTCCATTTTCATCTCTTTCTCCACAATCCATCCCACACACAACAGTTTGCTTGCTTAAAAATGTAATTTATGCCAGGCAGTGGTGGCATACAACTTTAATCCCAGCACTCAGGAGGCAGAGGCAGGTGATCTCTATGAGTTTGAGGCCAGCCTGGTCTACAGAGTGAGTACCAGGACAGCCAGAGCTACACAGAGAAATCCTGTCTGGAAAAACCAAACAAACAAGCAAAATAACAACAAAAAAACTAATGTATACCAAGTGTGGTGATCCAGGCCTGTATCCCAGCACTCTTGATGCAGAAGCCAAAAGAGTCCAAGTTTCAGGCCAACCTGGGCTACATATCATGACCCTGCTGAATAAAACAGTAAATAATATTGCTTCCTTCCAAGTAAAACCTCCTTAACGACTTCTTGTTTATTTTTAGAAATACATCAACTTCTTGGCCTGGGAATGTAGCTTAGTTGGCAGAGTGCTTGCCCAGCATGCACAAGACCCTGAGTTTAATCTCTAGCACCACATAAATGATGTGGTAGCACACAGGAGATGGAGGCAGGAGGCTCAGGAGGGCAAGGTCATCCTGAACTACACATGAGACCCCATCCCAAAATGACAGTTCAACGTTTTTCATGGGCTTATCACAGACTGTCTTACCTCCTTTCAGACATATGCTGATCTCTTTCTTTTTCTCCGTCTTCTCCTTTTCCTTCTTCTGCTCTCCTTCCTTCTGACTCCTGGCCCCTCCATCCTTGATTCCCTTCATTGCTAAGGCTGCTCTTTTCTCTAGGAGCTTGTGTCACTGCTGTTTCTTCCTGTGGTGCTCTTCCCACACTCTGCATGGATGGCCTCTCCTCCTTCATATCAAAGCTGAATGTTACATTTACAGAAATCCCTTCTGTGAGCTGAGCATGTAGCTCAGTGGGTAGAGTGCGTACCTGGCATGCAGAAGGCCCTGAATTCAGTCCGTAGACCATAGAGTCTGGTGGCACATTAGAAAAGGACCTTCCCATTCACTCTCCACCTCATCATTCTGTTATCTGGTTTGTTGCAGCATTTATTCTGTGATTATCTTGTTTTCTATATGAAGCACAGGGTCTCGCCTGTTTCCTTTTGTTGTGAGGTAGCAGAGGGGGCATGAAACAAGGTCTTACACTATGTAGTCCAGGCTAGCCTGGAACTTCCTAGGTAGTTCTTGACTTCCACTCTAGATTCATCCTCCTGCCTCTGCTTTCCAACTAGATGGGGTTGCAGGACTGTATTCCATCACATGTAGCACTTTTGTGTTCTTTGTTGTTATATTCCTGGTACCTGGCACATAGTAAATGCCCAATAAGGTCTCTTAAAAATGACTCAGTGACCTCACTTAAAGAATACAGGGAAAATTGTTTGGCTATACTGTAGTCAGAAGTTTTCCTGTGTCCTGCCTGGTCCACAGCCGCTTAAACCCAAGTAAACACACAGAGGCTTATATTAATTAAAACTGCTTGGCCATTAAATCAGGCTTTCTACAGACTAGCTCTTACACTTAAACTCAGCCCATTTCCTTTAATCTATATGTTGCCACGTTTTCCATGGCATTAGCTATGTGCCATTACATGCTGCTCCCTGGACAGCAGGCTGGCATCTCCTGTCTCAGCCTTCCTCTTCCTAGAATTCTTCTTGTCTGCTTATCCCACCTATACTTCCTACCTGGCTACTGGCCAATCAGTGTTTTATTAGACCAGCATACAAAAGCATCCCACAGCATTTCCCCTTTTCTGTTTAATTAAAAAGGAAGGTTTTAACTTTAACTTGGTAAAATTACGAATAACAAACAGTTATCAAGCAAGAATTACAGTTACAATATCTAGTCTATTTGTATTTGGCAAAATTAAAGAAAAAATTCTATATATCCTATATTTGTGAGTCTAAAGTTTCGTATCCAATTTATCTTTTATCATAACCAAGGAAAATTGTAACTATCTAGTCTTCAACTATATCAAAGACCTTAGAAGGATACGATATTACCTAAGTAAACAGAAAGAGCATTGTAAGCAACTTCTAAAAATGTAAAATGACAGAGACAGCTGCCTGCCTGGACAGTTCTCAAAGTTCCTCTGTAACTTTGGGGCATCCATCTTCAGCCCATAGGCCTAGTCTCTCAGTCATTTTTTTTTTTTTTCTGTGTCCTGTAGAATGTTTGGCAGTTTCTTCTGCGAAGCAAGAACCTCAAAGATCATCTTGCCTTGCAAAGTTCACTGGTCACCTTCCTATGGGTTCTGCATGTCTAGTTTATACAACATATCATCAAGCAGTCAACGCAGAGGCACTTTTTTGCCCAGTGGCTAACTTTTGCCACAAAGAAAACAAACTCCATAATGAGTTTCTTCAATACCCATTATCATCTCCTAAGTAGATTGGTGCTGCCAGGAGCAGACATGTCTCAATGTCTAGAAAGTCAAAGTTCTTAAAACATTTTAAATACCATATTCTGTAGGTCTTTGAAGTGTTTGAAGATTGCCTACCTAATTGAATTATATCTATGTATATCTAGAAAACTTAACATGACTATAAGTTTGACTATCATAGAAGACTAATTATTAGTCTGTATTTCTTAGTTGTACAATTTAAATGAGCTGCACAAACATAATATCTTAAACAAGAGTAGAAAGATACATACAGTATAACAAAATTAACTTCAAATTTGTATCAGTAAAACTAAAATCTATATCAATGTAAAACATTTTAAGCAAGTTGCTCTTTAAAAGTAGGTTCAACAATCCATCCTTTTATCCTATCATATCTACATCCTGTATTTCCATATCATATTCCCCTTTCTTTTTTTAGAAAGATATTGATGATGACCAATAACAATTTGTAACTAACAACCTAAGTAAAGACAAGCATCCATAATCCCTTTTTTGGGAATGTGGGTGTAGTTTTCTAGGCTACTTCCTGCTGATAGAGGGCGCTGGTAATCTTATGGGAACACAAAGAAAAGTTTAGGATTATGGTCAAGTCCTGACTGGAATAGTTTGTGAGGCTGTATTCTCTGAGCCAGTTGCCTTGAAGTTGATTTTGGATGTTGGATGATCTGGGCCCTCGTGTCATTGGAAACTTTTCATGGGGTCTTGGCTGTTCAAACCATATTAGCCTGGAAGCTATCCATAGGTTCTCACATTCTGTGGAAACAAAAGCAGAACCTCTTTTCCAAAGTAACATATCCTTAGACATAAATTTTGAAATCAGGATGTCTTTAAAATATACATATTGATTTAACTCAGCACCTTTTACAATCAAATGTCTCTCTGCAGTTAAAAATCCCAGAGACAACATAATCCAGATTCTCTGTGTAATATCCATTTTTACATGGTTTATTTTTTATATTACCTTTACTATCTCTTTAAAGACTTTATGTAACTGTCTATTCCTTTTCCTCTCTCTTTCAAGCCTACATACATTTTTACACATACCGTAAACCATTTAGAGGTTTATTTAATCTGAATCTGACCTATTGTGAATCTATTGCTTTAAATTTTAGAATGACTAGGACTGAAATGACAGTGTGGCTGCTGGCTCTGCCCACCTCAGCTTCCCAACGTGGTGGAACTACATTTACAGCCAGCTCTGGGAACCATGCTCACCGCTGACTCTGGGAAGCAGTGGGTCTATGCTTCCATCCAGCAGCGTGTAGCACAGAAAAAATTTTGTTGTTGTTGTTGTACTAGTAAAAGCTATATCC